TATGATTTAAAAAATAATAATTTAGGAGAGAAGAGATGGTAATTAATTACCATACATGCATGCACACCTTATATTATGAAACACCTTTAAAAAGTAGTTGTGCCCTATATTTTGGAATGGAGGGAGTATTTGACATACTCATAGAAAAATGGTATGCTTCGTGAATTCCTGGATTGTATGTGCTATCTGTCGAGCGGATTGTGTAATAAGTGGTTGTAGCTTCATTGAAGCAAAGATCGGGATTTATTTCATTATCTTAAAAAAAATATATAGTATGCTTGTTTGCGTTCATATATATGAATGAGTGTGCACGGGTGTTTAATTATCTGTCTTTCGGAGAGGAACAAAGAGAGAAAGAAATGCAATGTGTGCTCTGAATTATCTGCAAGATTCACGAGCCACAATAATTATAATATAGAGTTCGATTAATTCGATAGTGACATACTAAGTGCGGTATACGCCATGCCCAACTAATCAATGATCAAATGAACCATCGTTTTCTCTCAACAAAATTAATTAAAGCATGCATTCTTTTGATGAATGCATTTGCGAAAGAGAAGCCATTTTTAATCATGTCCCTTTCCATTTAGGTACACATACATGGATGCTTAATTACATGCATGGGACCAGTGATTAGCTTGATTGATTGACTTAGCCCCCATGGCGCATCTTTGACCGTTTGGACCACATCGGACGGTCCCAATGGCACCTGGTGGACAGATGAATTACTGTTGAACTTGACTGGCACGGCTACACATTTTGCAGGGAACACCCTCTAGTTATATAGTTTAAATTTTAGCTTATTTTCTCTTCAAACAATTAATGTACTACTAATAATTGATCATCCATCTAGCTAGTTTCCATTGTTTAGAATAATGCAGTTCTGAATTTTAAAGATTGATTTTTTAGAATAATTTTAGATGAACTTTTCATTTGTGTTCTTATCAATCTTTTAAAGAGTTCTGGGCGGCTGGCCAATGAAAATGAAGAAGAAACCCCTCCCCCCTTCTTAAAATTAATAGTAAAACCAAATACTACAAATCCAAAATCAGTTATGGATTATAATCCACAAATGAGCCAAATGGGTTCCAATTGATGATTAATTAGTCAATGAGTATGATCATCTTAGTCTTAAAATCGGTCATTTCACTGCTAAGAAAACCATTTTCGCAGATGAGGGCAATCAATTTTTCTAGATGAGTAGGCCTCTCAGAGCCAAACATCTACCTACAAAAACGGCAACGAGAGGCAAGATCGTCCGCCTGTGAAGATGAATTTTTGCAGCGACATAAGGCTTTGTTTGGGACACGAGGAAACTTCCATCTCCATGAGAGCTATAAGGACACGTATGGTAATGTGAGATATAAAAGGAGATGAGAAGTTCTGTAAAAGATTAAATTTCAGGAGACTGCATATATTTTGTCAGAATTATCATTTTTGCTTCAACCTTAACTGATAATTTCAGAAAACAACGACAAAGTTAACGATCTTATCATAGAACTGCAACTTGGTTCATCTCATAGGTCCAGTCCCACATGTCATACACATGTACAGTACGCCAACTATTGCAAGTTGTCAATCGTTACGCATCAAACATTTCAGTTAAAATCATAGTTTCCCGATGAAAATATTTGCTATTGTCATAGTTTCGTAAAATGCTCCATTAAAGTTAAAGTAGAGTGGTACTCCCTCGGTCCAAAATATAAGATCCTGTTTAGATGGGATTATTTTAAGTCCCTATCACATCGGATGTTTGAACACTAATTATAAATATTAAACGTAGACTATTAATAAAACCCATCCATAATCTTGGACTAATTCGCAAGATGAATCTATTGAGCCTAATTAATCCATAATTAGCCTATGTGATGCTACAGTAAACATTCTCTAATTATGGATTAATTAGGCTTAAAATTTTTGTCTCGCAAATTAGCTTTTATTTATGTAATTATTTTTGTAAATAGTCTATATTTAATACTCTAAATTAGTGTCTAAATACAGAGACTAAAGTTAAGTCCCTCAATCCAAACACCACCTAATAAGGTTATTTTGTTGGATGTGATATATCCTAGTACTACAAGTCTGTTCAGATTTGTGCTATTAGGATATGTCACATCCAGTCAAAAATCTTATATTTTTGGACTGATGGAGTAGTAACTTTTAGTAGCACTACTTTAAATAGTTTACTTTTAAGTAATAAAATGATAGTGCAAATTCAACTGAATAGTTAAGCACGGGTACTTGTACTGTTGTACACACAGCTGGCAACAAAAGTGAACTGGTACACTCACAGTCACAGAGATCAAAAAAAGGACACAGTGTAGTGTACCTGGACCCTGGTGATGCATGCATGCCTATAAGCTTATGGGATTCAGTAAGATTTTTGTCATGATCGCGAGACACCTTCACCGGTGCGTGGTCTGCACGTTAAATGAAACCCTCTGTGTGTATCGGTAGCAGTAATAAATCCATCCCTCCATTATTTCATCCTCTCGAGCAATGAAATGAATTGCATCAGCCTAGCTGCGCACAAGCTTGAGCTACCGCCCGAGTTTATTGAACCATTGTCCATTTTCATATATTAATTATGCTACCTCTATAACATCGTTTGTTCTAATTTTTTAGACAGACGTTTAACAATTTATCTTATTTAAGAATTTACGTAATTATAAATTTTTTTCAGATGAATGATTAAATACGTGTCTAAAAGTTAACGGTGTCATCTATTAAAATAAGATAAAATATATAGGTTTATTTGGGGGGTTTTCTGGGCTGTTGATAAGAGGATCTAATTTCTATCCCAGCCTATTAATAAGATTGCTAGTTTGGCATAGGGTATGGGTACAACTGTGTGTTTTTAAGGCTGCTTTCGGGAGGAGGGGTTCCCAACCCCTCCTCCCCGGCACGCAAAACGAAGCACACGTTATTACATAATTAATTAAGTATTATGTATTTTTTTTAAAAAAGGATTAATTTAATTTTTTAAGCAACTTTCATATAGAAACTTTTTGTAAAAAAACGCACCGTTTAGCAGTTTGAAAAGCGTGCGCGCGGAAAACGAGGGAGGAGGGTTGGGAACTTGGAGATAAGAACAGATCCTTAATGTCTTTCCATTTCATAGGTTGAATTATTGGATGCAATTTATTCTTTCTATATGTGTCGCCATATTTTGCTGTATCGCGTTGTTACTTTCTCCGATCTCTGCCGGCCCTACGCACCAAGCAACTTCCAACGTCTCTATCGTGGTCTCTCCGCTCATAAGTCCTCTCCAACATCGCCTTGTGTCGTCTTTGTTGGTAAACGGGCGCGTCTCACCGCTTTACCATACCATCAACGCTTTCAAGCCGCTTGCCGGTGCCCTAACCGACTCCAGAGAGTTCGTCCTCTGCCTATCCTCTCCTTTTCTCCCTCTAAAAAAATATCATCTTGGATTCATTGTCTCCTAACTAATCTATTTGTGCATCACTATTTCTGTAATCTCATATCTTTTATCAAACCTATCATTTTAAATCCCAATATATAGTCTAAGACATCCCTTCAAATAAGTAAGTAGAAGTCTAGAGTAGTCGATTTATTATCTTTTTTAATAATAACTACTTGTGGTTTTTATTGGTGTATAAATCTAGTGAGACTAACATGGTGTTCTATAGTAATATCATATCAACCTAACAAACACCTTTCTATCATACCGCTATGTTCTCAACTACTTGTGAGTCACTATCATCACCCGTCTAATTCACATTCATCATCCCAAAGCAAATATGATCAAGGAGCACCCTTTTTTTTTGCCCCAAATGCTTAATTTCCTTCATCTCATCATAACCTTTAAACAATGAAAAAAACACACCAAATCAAGTGCTAAAATTGCATGCAAAGTTGCAATCAGTAGCCCCTAATATACTTGGTGGCAACTCCACTCCACCAAACTTTTGCCAAAACCACAACCAACCCACATTTAACATTTACACCTCCTGACCTGACCAAACCATGCATTGTCAGACTCAACCTCAAATTTCCCTCTCCACCCAAAATCCGAAGGCTCTCATTTGATGGCCTATTCAGTCAAAGAAAAAACCAAAATTTGAATTTTTAAACTTAATTTTGACATTGATTTTGAGATATTTTCAATGTAGTTTCTTTTTCAGCATTGGCTTTTAAGTCACCGAGAACACATATATAAAAATTTTATCTATAAATTTATTTTTATTCTCTAATAAGCCATTTTGGCTTATTAGAAAAAAAGTCAAACGATGGAGCCCGAACAAAACTCAGGTGGTGTTTAGATCCAGGGACTTAACTTTAGTCCCTGTCTTTAGACACTAATTTAGAGTATTAAATATAGACTACTTACAAAACTAATTACATAAATAAAAGCTAATTCACGAGACAAATTTTTTAAGCCTAATTAATCTATAATTAGAGAATGTTTACTGTAGCATCACATAGGCTAATCATGGATTAATTAGGCTCATTAGATTCGTCTCGCAAATTAGTCCAAGATTATGGATGGGTTTTATTAATAGTCTACGTTTAATATTTATAATTAATTTTCAAACATCCGATGTGATAGGGACTTAAAATTTTTAGTCCCATCTAAACAGGGCCTCAGATACTAGTACCATCAACAGTCCAAAATCCGTACAAATTTGAATCCGAAGTCGCTTTCAAAAAGCCAGAGAGAGAGAGAGAGAAAGATAGATAGAGAGAGAGAAGGGAAAGGGAAGAGAGAGAGAGAAGCAGATCAGCAGAGCTCCCCCATCTCTCGCTGTCTCCCCTCCTCCACGTGTAGACGTCGACGACGAGTTATATACGTTCGCACGCGCGCACGCTCGCTCGCTCGCTGCCACCGCCTCCTTCGCTGCCACCATCTCCTTCGCCGCCGGGCACCATCGCCGGCGGTGGCCGGGTTCATGTAATGCTATTGTTGCTCTTCTTCTTCTTCTTCTTCAGCTTCTTGTTTTGTACAGTAGTAAGAAGGGAGGAAGAAAGTGGTTGTTTTCCTTTCTTTTTTGTTCGTTTGTTTGGATGTTAACGAGTGGCGAGAAGTTGGAGTCGTCTTGTGTGCGAGAAAAAGCCTCGATTTCTCCGGGTGTTTTTGGATCTCTGAATCTCTGACGCTGATGCGTTTCTTGATGTGTCAGACTAAGACAGAGAGGCTTTGCTTGTTCTTCTGGCGCGTGTGCTTGGCTCAGCTCAAGCTGGGGATCTTCCTGTGGTGATTCTTTTTTCGTTTTTTTTCTTTTTTTTTGTGTTTTTGGGGAGGTGAGGTCGGCAGGTTCGGTTTTCTTGTGGTGAGGAGTATCTGTCAAAAGGCTGGATTTTTATATATTGCCAAAAAAAAATGTGTTCTTCAATTTTATTTGTGGCTGTCTTGCCAAATGATACTAGCTGGCTGTTTGGCTGAATAAAGTGAGAATTTGATGCAAATCCTTTGTTAGATTGTGTGTGCATTTGTGCTTCTGATTTCTGAGGCGGCTTCTTTGATGGAGTTAGTTGCAGGAAAATTGCCCCTGCTTTTGATTAGTTTGTTTTGGTTTACCTATTTGATGATCCAATTAGGATATTTTTTAAATATTTTTGGTGTTCTTCGTGTTTCATTTGAAAAGTTCTTGGCTAGGAGAATTGGAGCAAAGACTAAAGATCCAGGCCTTATGTTAGTAATTTCACTCCGACTATTTTAATCTCTGGTTCTTTGTTTTTCAATGTGGGTTTCTGTGTTCTTTGCCTCTGAGAAGCTTAAACTAGTTTTTGTTGTAGTGGCCATCAAGTCAACTTGGATGAGCCGAGTAGTTCAAGGAGCAATTAAACTTTTGCAGAATCTTCAGAATTATTTATTGGTTTATCTGGAGTGCTTGTTTTTTTGACCAAGTCCAAAGTACCTGTAATTCATTAGCTGCATTTATTTGTTTTCTTACAACTGTATTATGTGCAGACAACTGTTGGTTTGCTATTATGAGCTTTAATGGATGATGATTCTTGATGGTCAAAAAAATCGATTTGTGTGCAGGCTGTCCTGAAGGAGTGGAATGCTCGTCGGTGATTAGTAGGTCACCAGAATATCTTCTCTCCTAGCCTCCTGGGCTTGTTTACCCAATTTATCATCAGGTATTTCTAGCTCCATGTAATCAGCCAAAAACAAGTTGTTCTTCATTTGGTGGTCCCTTCCCTATGTTGGCATTGGTGCAGTAAGGAGATCTATGCTTTTGTTGCATCTTGTAAGCATTTTCCTCCAAGGTTATGCTTATTTTCGGTTGATAATCCAGTTTCTTTTTTTTACCATAAGTTCATCCTGGTTTCATATGCATGGATGCTTTTTTTTTCTCCTGCTATTTTTTTCGTAAAAAAAGAATGCATCTTTTTCCTGTTTCACTGGTTAAAAGTTCCATTCAAGTTCTGAGCATAATACACTGAAGATCTTCAGAAGGGAGAAAAATAAATTAGTTCTTCAGAAATAGATAGCCAGATTGTTATTATAACGCAAGAAGCATCACATGGATGTGCAACCAACATCTATCTAAAGACTGCAATCTAGGATACAGAATGAATTTATCTTCATATTCCGGAAAGCAGGTTTGTTAATTAATCTCTTTGGAATTTCTGTGGCTTGTAGCTTCCTGAAATCTGAAGAAAATAAATTCGGTTTTACTACCACCATGGGTGCCTGCGTGTCTTCAAGCAAAAAACGGAGATCACAGAAATTGTGCTGTATATACCGGCGTTACCGCGGAAAAGTTTTGAGCAATGCACCTATAGTACGCGCCAGTGATGCAGGGAGCCGTGCTGCTCCTGGAGAAGTTGTTCATGTGGAGGCTAAATCTGATGGCTCGAATGTAACATTTCATCTCACACAGTTGCAGTGGCATCATAGTGAGCTAGACTCAGAAAATGGAAATGGTAATTGGAATTTTTCTTGTTACTTGCATTTTTTTTTTGTCTCGGTTATCTGAGTTAAATCCTGAATTTTTGCCCTACTGGTCTAGTTGTGTGTCAAGAAGAAGCATGGTTCGACTCTCTCAGTATTTTAGGATCTGATTCTGATGAAGATTTCAGCAGTGTTAATGGAGGTTTGTATTACCTTTCAACCAATGTGATCTGCACTGTACATGTGAATTGATGCAGTATATTCAGGCTTGGTCTTTTCTTGCAGACCTCCCTGCAATGTCAAATTCAGCGGGTACACAATTAATGCACTGTGAAGATGCTTCAAGCATTGCTGATGCAATCCAGAAGTTTGAGAGGATTTTTGATGGTTCATGTGTTGCTCAAGCCATTGGACAATACCTGAAAAGAGACGCGAACAAAATGGATAGACCAAACCAAGCAGATATTCAAGAATCGGAGAAGCCTAAAATTCCAAGCCCAGAATCATGTGATGTATCTGATGTGAAGGTTGATGAAACAAAGACTAGAAATGAGGGTATAAAAATTCTGACAAAACTCAGAAGAGGCGAGGATGCATGTAATACGTTGAAATCTTCGAAAGAAGGAGACAAGGCTCATGAAAGTATCTTCAAAAGTTTGACACCAGTGTGCACGCCTCGCCATGCTAATAAGGTTCAGCCTTTGGCCGTAGCAAGTCCTCGGGGCCAAAAGAAGAAATCAGGAGTTGTCAGGCTCTCTTTCAAGAGGAAATCTTTTGATGGAGAACAAACTACTGAAATATGTGAGTTTTGTGCTCATATGTGTTCCACAGTTTCACCATTTATTTTTGCGTTCTACTGAGTTAAGTAAGATTAAAAAACATGGTTGTTGATGTTGAATGTTCTATATACATAGGCTCTTCTAGGAGGTACTTGATTCATCCAAGAGCTGGATTGTTGGTTCCTCAAGGCAGTGAGAAAATATCAGAAAGTTGTTGGTCCGTTCTTGAGCCATCGACCTTCAAACTACGTGGAGAAACCTTTTTTAAGTAAGGGTTGCTAAATGCATGCTCATTATGTTGTGTAATTAAGGGACTTAGTTTTTATTTATAGTTTGGAGTTACTTGCAGAGACAAAAAGAAGTTGCCTGCCCCAGGAAGTTCACCGTATACTCCGATTGGTGTGGACATGTTCATGTCCCCAAGGAAAATTCATCACATTGCGCAGCATATTGAGCTTCCATCTGCTGGGCCAAGCGAGAAAATTCCTTCCTTACTTATCGTTAATATTCAGGTATGATCACTAAGTCTTGCTATCTTCAGTTTTCAGCTATGCTAATTGCTCCAATGTACCAATGATTTTTGGGTTTCCTGCAGATGCCTACATATCCTACTGCTATGTTCCTTGGTGATAGTGATGGGGAAGGCATTAGTCTAGTGTTGTATTTCAAACTGAATGAGAACTATGAGAAGGAAATTTCTCCTCTGTTTCTTGATAGTATAAAGGTAAACTTCTCTTTGTTCACAGATAACCTTTGCCTACTAATTCTAAATTGAGCCCTCCTTAACCGTTGTCTTCTTGTTTATTTTCAGAGACTTGTAAATGATGAGATAGAAAAGGTTAAGGGGTTCCCATTAGATTCAACGGTTCCGTACCGAGAAAGATTGAAAATATTGGCAGGGTTAGTAAACCCTGATGATATGAATCTGAGTTCTGCAGAGAGGAAGCTTGTGCAGGCTTATAATGAAAAGCCAGTCCTTTCGCGACCTCAACACAATTTTTATGTGGTAAGTTACCTTCATGTGATAGAACTTTTTGTTGGTTTCTTTTTTTGTATCTTGACTTTTACATGACATGTGTTGGTGATGCAGGGACCAAATTACTTTGAGATAGACCTTGACGTGCACCGGTTTAGCTTCATCTCAAGGAAAGGGCTTGAAGCGTTTCGAGAAAGGTTGAAACATGGTGTCATTGATCTAGGTTTAACCATACAGGTAGAAATATGATCTTTTCTGATTTTTTTTATAGTTACGCCCTCTTGATATTTATCAATTCAGCATCCATTTCAGATATTACTGAAAGCAACTATAAGTCTGACAACAAAACTAATCTAGATTCAAGAGGCTACAACTGTTCATCATACAGCATTATCATATAAACACCTACTGCTAATGTTCCTGAATTTGAGAGAAAAAAATGTTATCTTTTCCTTAATAAATCATTCTAAAAGCTGTGGTAACAAATCCCCAATTTTCATTGGGTGTAACAGCAAGCTTATCTTAATAAATCATTCTAAACTGTGGTAACAAATCCCCAATTTTCATTGGGTATAAGAGCAAGCTTACGGTTTGCCGTGATGGCTGAAGAAACAAGGCTGTCTAATTTCATCAAGATTTGGAGAGAGTTACGATAAGTTACAATTTACATCGACAGTAGGCCAAGCTAAGGTTGACTTCTCCTTAACAGATTGTCTTGAAATATGATCACTGATGACAGCCTGTAAAACATAACTTGTCTAGACATGCTTATCTAAGCATAGCAAACAATGAAATGACTATGTTAAAGAAGTTTTGAATGACACGAGAATCTTTTCGACGCAAGATTATGTATTTAGTGACATTAGTTTCATCATGAACTGAAATTTTTGTTAATTTCATGCAGGCACAGAAGCAGGAAGAACTCCCTGAGAATGTCCTATGCTGTGTAAGGCTGAACAGAGTCGATTTCGTCGATCATGGGCAGATACCGACGCTCTTGCCTTGCGACGACGACTGACATTTTAACCGGCATGCTAATTTAACTGGATCTGATGCTTCAGTCAAGAGCAGTAGGCCAGTAGCAGGCGACCACAAGTTCTGTCCTGTGAAACTTGATGAACTCACCTTGGTTTTGGGAGGGTGAACATGGCATGGTTGCTTCTTCGCTCTGGTCCATGAGATCAACGGCTCTACTTCAGAGTTCTGTAAAAACCAGCGTACATAGTCATGCATGTTGTTTGGAAATCTGGTTTGTGGATGAATTCTATGGGAAATTTGTTCTGCAAATCAGGAATTGGCTGGTACCAATCAATCTATTCATTCAATTCATCTGTTCTCATTCCATATGTGATCATTTACATTCATGTTTCGATTTTGTGTATTGTGGAAGTTTAATCCTGTCACCAACATTACTTTGTTTGGATGACAAAAAAAAAACAGCAATTTTTTAAACTTACAATTTTCAACATCTGATAAAATCTAGTGGGGTTAACAAAACCAGGAAACCATTAAAAACAAAAAGCAGCAGTTTTCTGATGATCATAAACTATTGTTGCAGTTTTCTAAAATGTCTAATTGAGTTTGTAGTTATTATTAGTTTTGACAGAATAGTTGCAGTTTTCTGAAGTTCAAAATCTAGTGAGGGTGTTTTCAACAAAACTAGAAAGCCTTTGTCACAAAAGAAAAGTCAAAAGGTCCAATAAAACAGACAAAACCAGGAGCCTAAACCAGATTATCTCCCATATCAACAACAACAGCAACAGCAACAGTATAATCAGAAACAGGTGCCAGAGCAGAAAATGCAGCAATTGCTGTTTCCAGCCCATAACTAATGATGGAAGAAGCTAAGGCAGTGTTGCAGGTAAACTGACAGACAGCAGCATTATGAGTTTGCAAACTCTATACAATCTTTTGCTATACAGAAGTGCTTTGGACAGCATCATTTTCATCCTGGAGTTGTCCATCCATTAATCTTTTTATCTTGTTGAAGTTTTTTTTAGCACATCAAGTGTTACTCCAGATAATTCAGAAAAAATTCAGAGATGCTGACAGCAACACTGCACCACCAGTTTGTCTCCCCTGATCTGATGGCATCATGCTGCTGCAAGCCATGTCCTAACAAAAGCTTGGCTGCTTGTTCATCTTCTTCCTTGTGATGACAACAAGTACACTTGATGATGCTCCTCTTGTGCTCTTTGTGTTTGTGTGTGGTGTGTGATCATGCCATGTCTGTCTTCCTCATTGCTGCTCCTTCTTGCTGCCTGCCAAGAACAACAATGCATGAGATCCTGCTCCTTTTCGGCTACTTTATAAACACACAGTAATTTTATAGAATTTTCTTAGGAAGTTCCTCTAAAATTCCATTGAAATTTCTCCGTTCCAAATAGGCCCCAAACAAGTATAGTACGATTTTCCCGTGAACTTTTCATCAGCATTTCTTAGAAAATTATTTTATTTGTTTTCGAATTTTAATATTTAATTCATTTGATTGTGTTCTGAACTCGCGAATAATTTTCATAAAATCAGTTCCCTCCATCATATCCATCGGTCATGGCATTTCGGTTTCGGATTTAAAGAGGTCAGCAATGGCATGTGCCATGTTGTGTGGTGTAGAAATAGATCCTCTACAATACTGTTCTTTGACGTTGAGTGACTGACATGTGAACCCTTTACTCAGATGGTCCACATGTCAGGAACTTAAGTCAGAGGGCAGGGCAGTACTGCAGAGGAGACTCATCATCCGTGTGGTGTGTGGATCACCTTTGCGGAACCACGAGTGGCGGCCAGCTCGCCGGATCTGCTGCTCGTGGTTCTGGAGGAGCTCCTCGATGCGCCGCGGCTGCGACAGCAACGGCCCGGAGAATCCCACCCTGTGCAACCTCCCGCCGCCGACCTTGTGCTTCTGCCAATGGCGGGAAAATCGTCAGTGAGATGGCCGGTGAGGAAGGATTACGACAATGGTGGAAGTGATCGGAGGGAGACGAGACCTTGCTGCTCTTGACCTCCTTGGTGGCGGCGGCGGCGCCGGCGCCGGCGGTGGCCGTGGGCTCCTTGAACCGGTTGTTGTAGGATTCCGACGAGGTGAACGCGTCGGCGACCTGCGCCCACTGCTTCATCGCCTCCTGCTTCTCCGCCTCGTAGGCGCCGCCATTGCTGTTGGTTCTTGGCACCTTGGAGGAGCTCCGCTTCGCCGCCGCCGCCGCCGTCGTGGTGGAGTCTGGTCGTGGCATCTTGGCCCAGGCGAAGCCGGTGGAGGCGGTGAGCTGCACCGGCCCGGAGAGCGGGAGGCGGTCGCCGGCGTCGTCCTGGTAGCTCCGGGACATCGGCGGCGGAGGCGGCGGCGGCGTCGGGTCGTCGTGGCGCTTGCTGGCGATCACCGGCACGGGTTGCATGTCGACGAACAGCCTCGCCTCGCCGCCGTTGGCGCGGGGGAGCGACTCCTCGGCGTGGACGTGGCCGTGGCCGTGCCTCTGGCTGGCGACGACGGCGGCCGCGGTGGCGGCGGCGGTGGTGTCCTGCATGCTCTTGTGCCCCCGTGACAGCCGCTTCGTCGCCTCGCCGCCGCCGACGCCGCCGTGGTTCCTGCCGCCGACATTGACCCTCCTTCTAGAATCTTCTCGAAGCTTGGCGTCCATCTCCTTGTTGGGCGCGTACTTGGGCAAGCTCGATGGCTCGCAGGCGTACGGCTCCGTCCTGAAATACTGAGCAAATCGACACGAAAAAGAAAATTCAGCCACGAATGCCCACGGACGAACACCTTGGCGGCATGGTCACCTACCTCGGAGGCGAGGGCTTCGGTGGCGGTGCCACGGGCGGAGGGCTCGACGGAGAGGAGCTTGGAGAGGAGCGCGAACGCGTCGTCGCCCATCATGCCCCCGAACGTCTCCCTGAGCCGGCTCTCGTACGGCTGCTGCGGCCGGAACCCGGCGCCGCCGCCGCCGCCCGCCGCCGCGCGGCGCCAGTACGCGTCCCCCGGCGAGCCGCAGAGCTTGAAGATCCTGTGGATCTGCTCCACCTCCGTCCTCCCCTGCAGGATCGGCCGCCGCGCGTGCATCTCGGCGAACACGCACCCGGCGCTCCACAGGTCGACGCTGGCGTCGTACGCCGTGGCGCCCAGCAGCAGCTCCGGTGGCCGGTACCACAGCGTCACCACCCTGCTCGTCATCGCCGCCGCCGACGACGCGTCGAACACGTTGGCGAGCCCGAAGTCGGCGACCTTGAGCTCGCCGCCGCCGCTCACCAGCAGGTTCGCGCACTTGATGTCGCGGTGCATCACCCCCCTCGCATGGCAGTGCTCGAGCCCCAGCAGCAGCTGCCGCATGTAGCACTTGATCTGCACCGTCCACGTGTCGGTTAGAGCCCACGTGTCGCGATCTCAGCCGTTGAATGTGTTGGGGGGGTCGTCGTCTACCTCGGGAAGGGAGAAGGAGAGGGAGGGGTCGGAGGAGAGGCCGGCGAGGTCGTGGTCGGAGTAGTCGAAGACGAGGTAGAGGTTGGGGGAGGAGCGGGAGGTGATGAGGCCGTCGAGGGAGACGACGTTGGGGTGGCGGTGGAGGCGGCGAAGGATGAGGATCTCGCGCGCCATGAACCGCACGCTCTCCGGCTCGCCGCTGTCGAACCGCACCTTCTTCAGCGCCACCATCCTCCCCGTCTCCACGTTCCGCGCCCTGAACACGCTGCTGTACGTCCCCTGCCCAATCTGGATCATGGACGCGCCGCCATTGCCGCCGCCATTGATTGTTAGCTTAATTGAGAAGGAGAGGTGTTCGACGGTTTGAGTTCTTGCTTGCCTTGTCGAGCTTCTCGTAGTTGGCGGCCTTGAGGGGGACCCAGCCGTGGACGGCCTCGGCGGCAGCGGCGCTGAGCCACGACGGCCACCCGGCGGCGACCTGCTCCGCCTCGACGTACCTGTGGATGTTCCCGAGCCGCACGCCACCGCCGACGACGACGACGGACGAACACTCACCACCCCCACGCGCCGCCGCCTTCTTCTTCCCGTCGCCATCATCCTCGTACGCGTCGAGCCGCACCGGCCGGCTCCAAATCGACGCCACCTCCGCCGCCGCCGCGCCCGTCGACGCGCTCCTCGACACGCTGTACGCCGCCGACGCCGACGACGACGACGTCGTGGTCGCCTCGTACGCCGGCGACGCCACCGCCGCGCCCTTGGACGCCGCGCACCCCATCGCCGCCGCCGGGAACACAGGGGAGGAGCAAGAAACAGGGGATTGCCTCCTCTGTTTCCTCCTCCTCCACCACCACCACCACCTCCTCCTCTTCTTCTTCCAAAGCAATGGAAATGTAAGCTCGAGCTCCTCCTAAAGATAGCTAAGCTTAGCTGCTTCTGCTTCCTTTAATTGGCAGAAAAATATATATGTTTTTTTTTTACTTTTTTTTTGTTGTTGGCAAAATTTGTCCTTCCTTTTGCTTTAATTCTTGTGCTGGTATTGAGCTAGGGATTGGGCTGGATTAGATTAGCCAATAAAAGATTAGGGAGGAGTGTAGTGTAATTATGGGTTATGGCTTAATTGCTCTCCCTAATCACCTTCTAAAGATAGCCAAAAAGGTTGTTGATGTGCTCTGGTTAAGTGCAATGCAACTACCTCTACATAAGCTGAACAGGTGCAACTGATCCAGCAATGATCAGGCTATTTTGACGTGTTAATTTTTGGGGGTTTTTTAGTTGTTGTTTTGATGTAACTTTTTTTAGAAATTTGGGAGAAATTTAAAATATGTTTTGAAAAAGATTTGGATAGGAGAATATACTATTGATGTGTGCATTGGTCAAAGAATATTTGTTTTTGGAGAAAGTACATCAGAGGGAATTGATGTGCATGCAAGTATAGGAACATGGTGTCCGGGTTTTAGGCGGGAAAAATGTTCATGTGATTTTATTATGGCGCTAGAGGAGTACAAGTTTGTACTAGCCGTTCATATTTAAAATCCCTAGCCGCCTTGTGTGTGTGTCTCTCTCTCTCTCATTTATCCGTATATTTGTGCTGCATTTTGAATGCTTTGATTTGTTTATGGATAATGCATGGGTTTAGCAGCACTGTTTGCAATGATGTTGTTGATGCAAAGATGAGCAGATGAACAATGATGGTTTGTTTGGGAGAAACATGGCAACTACTATAAAGTTGCCAGTTAATTAGGAACAAGAAAGTGGTGATTAAGCACTTTAACTGGCCTTGTGTTTTTTTTTCTTCTCTTTTTTACTTTTCTCATGTCTGGAGAAAGGGATATATGCCCACTATGTTGCATGCTACCCCACAAATCAACTGCATGAGAAAGGGAAATGTGTGAGAGAGGGAATGTTTGACTATTGTAATACCTGTGGATATTTGGTGAGGGGATTTAAGATAGGGATTGTTCATTGTTTGTCCAATGCATAGTTAATTTCAGATCCAGTTTTGTTGGTAGAATTTGCTGTTTTAATGACTAGCAAATCTGTACTCCCTTTTATTCTCTTGTTCTGTTTGACTCTCTGTTTTCTACCATACCTCCTATTTATTTTTGTAAGGCCACGGGTTCTTTTAACTCCTATTTACTCATAATTTCTTCGACAACTCTAACATCGCTTCACAAATATTGACTTTAACAAGAGAAATACTATCTTCGTCTCATGAAGACTTTATTTCTAGTTACGAATTTGATAAATATTTGCCTAGATGTAGCTCTTTTTGGGAGGGAGGTAGTAACAATGTGAAAGGTTGTATGATGTTATAGGGCATGTGAAAATTTTTGAAATTTTGAGGAATCAAATGCAGCAAACTCCAATTTGGTGTGATTTATGACCTGCATTGCATGCATTGTGCTTTCATGGTTGGTTGGCTAGCCAATGCAGCAGCATGTTCATTCTTTCTGTAGAAAGGAATTTATGTTGGTGTTGACTATACCAATAACCATGCTGTCCCTATTCTCTGCCTCTTATAAAGACAGTACAATATAAATGGGCCCATTGACATAGAGAGGTGTGCAATGGACCACAGGATGACCCCATGGAAATTCATCACTTTCTTTTTGCATCCAAGGCAAAAAAGAAAAAATATGGCCAGAGAAGAGGAAAGAAAATACTAGCATAACAAAAGTCTACTCATTATATGAAGTGGTTGGCAGTTCTTTTGAGGAGGTAAGCTGTTGTTGCCTCTTTGCTTTTTGTAGTGTATCCTATGGCTGGATTATATTGTGTAAAATCAATCTTTCACTACAATTATATGTTTCCTAAAAAAATTCTTAAAAAGTTTATTACCACTGTAAAGTTTCATGATGGAACTCCATTGCATTTATGAGATTTTTTTTATGTAAAGAAGGACAAATGGTTACTGCAATTGTGTTGGAATAGTGTTTTCACTGTTGCACTAAGCATTTCATATTTGGCTAAAATTTTCTCTTGGTGGGACCTAGTTGCACGACTGTAAAAACAAAAAAGAACTTGCCTAAAGAAAAAACTCACACCAATGGGCACTAGTCTATGTGCATGCAGATCCATGGGCAAATGCAAGGAGATAGATAGGATCATAAGATGATCTTTTCCTGCTTTTTGCCTTGCTTTGGCACTCACATATTCCTTGCTACCTTTGATGGAAGATATGCTTCATCAACCATCATGCTGTTCTGATTTCTCTTGCAGCAAATTGAGCTCCCTATCAATAATTAGCCATTTTAATATCCATTTGCCAGGTTAAAACATTGTACTGTACCAAGAATCGGCTAGAGATCAACAGATATCATGTCATCAGCATGGCTGATCAGAGACCAGGTAGAAGCATCTCAATTGTTTAGACTGTCACTGGTCTCTCTGGAAAGTGTTGGTACTGGCTGTCATAGCACAGGTAAAAATGCTGGTGGTACTATTTGTCATAGCAGACCAGTCATAAGGCTAATGAGATCTAGCAGTAATAAAAATATGTTCTTTATAGGATCAAAAAGATTAACACATGCATTCAGATCCCAGATGCTTTGCTCTTCTCTTTTGCTATGCAAATGCAGTCTTTTTACTGACCAAAAACAAAACAAACATCACATAAGGCTTGATTGGCAAGACAGCAAGTCTTTATGCACGGCCTGGATTGATGTGTTGCATCTCTGTTCTCTTTACCTTTCACTGCTGGGTGGGCCCCCCAAAGTGTACCATCAGCTTAAAAATCTTAGTGAATCCTAAGCCGTGTAATGTTCATGAATGCTGCAGTTAAGACTGTTAGCAGAAGAGTGTGTGTATGTGCTTAGTAATTATTAACAGGGGCAAATGCTCTTCTATTACAACTGCATAATATTTAACAGCAGCATGTGGTTTGTGCACTGTGGCATTTACAGGCTTTATTACCACATGGTCTTTGATTGAGCCCATCCTCTCTCTTTTGACAAATTACATTGGAATGTTCTTTGGCATTGAGTGGCTTTCTTGTGAGGTTAATTTAAGTTAGCTTGATTATGATGTTTTGGGGGATAATTTGGCTAAGCCATATAGCTAATGGCACATGATCATTAGCCAAAAGAAATCATAGCTTCTAACTTTGATTTACTCTAGAATGGGCAATCTTCTCAACTAATCCAAACCAACCAAATGTCTTCTACTATAATTTTTGGGAACTAGTGGCCAGCCGAATGACTGAATGAGACATCATCTTTTAAACTAGAACAACAGTTTCTTGAACCAATCTTGGAAAAAACACAATGTTACCTAACGTGGAGTACAAAAGATTACAAGTTCAGATCTCATTAATTAATTAAACCTTGAGTCCTTGAGAAACCGAGCTTGCACTCTGAGTTTTTTTATTAAAAAAAATTTGAAAGGCTAAAGGCAGGTTACTTTACCCATGAAGCAGAATGGACAGAAAATATAGCGGCCAAAACACTGCAAATTTGACAAAATATGAAGAGCATAAAAATGTCAAGATTTGTTTTTAGGCTTATTCAGTTTGTTTCAAGTTGTTCAACAACTTCATGGGCAAAACATGGTTCCTAACAAGTAACCACAACCATCAAACTTATGAAATGTTTGATTATGAGAATTAAGTACTCAAAAAGTCAAAATGATCACTTGACATCATCAGTGAGCATTAGTAAATCTGCAGGTCACCCAGTTCCAGCAATTGTTTCAGTTATATTCTGAACTCAGAACATGACATCACAGACTGATATTCAAGGAGCTAAATCTAATTACAACTGATATTCCAGGTTTCACAAGGCCTGTTCTTCAGGTGCATTGCTATCTAGAATCAGAGTTTATACCGAAACAAAGAGATGTACACCATGTTTTTTTATCCAATGCAGGTTTCTGGAGCCCCAAATTAGGGGCTGAGCAGCATGTACAATGTTGATTGATTACTGTCAAGCTACCAAGGACACAAATTTCTCTGCAACTCCACCCAAAAATACAGTTTCAAGATCATTTCCCGTCAGCTAAGGCACCTAAAATTCTCTCTCAAGCTAGACGCAATGACGCATTGTTCGCCGGAGGGCATCTCGGTCGACGGCAGCGCCTGGTTGTTCTTCCCCACCCAGTTATGCCGAGAGCATTAGCGTCCAAGTCAGCTGGGGGAGGAGGTGGCGGCGCTGGAGCTGGAGGTGGGCTTACCTCAACTTCCTCAACAGCGATAGCCACGCTTCTTGCTCGGCGCCTCCCCCTGGACTGCGATCCGTTTCGACCTCCCCGCTTCGATGGCGTTGACCTTCCAAGGGTGTGAAGATCCTCTGACACCTCGTGCTTCGACAGCGAAGCGAGGTTTGGTAGAATGTCCTTCTGGAAATCTTTCTTCTGGGGACGCTTTCGTGCTCGGCCTCTTCGAGGTTTTGTCTGAAGCAGTGAGGCTGCAACAGAGCCATGGTCTTCATTGCTCTTATGCTCTACTGGTGTTTTCGGTGTTGAGTAGAGCTCATAGCCTTTGGTTTCTTCTAGCTGCAGTGTCAAAGCTTCAAATTCATCATCGCTGTCACTTTCGCTACTACAGACCACTGCATCCTCCTTCGATGCAATAGCGAGGTCAGCGAACCAATGCAAAATGTCAGCAAGGGGAGACCCTGCTTGAAAGACATCTTTACACAAGGCTACTAGGCTCTCTGCTGCAGTTCTAGCAAGAGAGTCCTCAGAAGGATCATCTGGTTGCTGAGGAACAGTGCCACCTTCTGACTGATGGACATCAATGTCTGGCTCATCCATGGAAGGCGCGGCATTGAGGTCAATGAGATTCCTCGCATTTGCATCATCTTTCTTGTGCATTTCCATGTCAGCTTCGCGCTTGATCAATGGTTCGGTGTTTCTTTCAGCGGCTGCATTGATAGGGAAACCGAGTACTCTTGTGCTACCTTCTGAATAAGCTGTGGAACCTAATGAAATCTGGGATTGGCCATTTGCACAACTTGGTTGCACTTGTGACTTCATCAGATCTACAGGGTCCTTCCTGAGCCAAGATATATCAACCGGTGAATTCTCACTTCCCTGTTCCTGAATAGCAGTGACATCTTGAGGGGTATCATTCAGATTCACACCATGGAGTGGGGAATGCTTTTGATATTGAGGTTCTCCTGGAAACTTTGAAGAACGTTGGTTATGATAATGATTAGTTGCCATTGGAGTATTGATAGAATCCACTGAGAAGCCGTTGAAGAAACCATTCTGAGCAAAGGGCGTGTAAACAGAACCATAGTAACCATTAGCAGTGTAACTTGTGTTGCTGCTTTGCCACGGAGACTTGACTGCAGCGTTGGAGCTGGTCGGTGCGTCGATTAGTTGATTGAAGGGATTACATCTAGGCAGGTAATGCGCAGCAGAGAAATTAATACCATTTGGCTCTTGTTTGAACCATCCCATGCTGACATTTTGATCTGGAAAAGAAGAGTAAAATATGCTCAGTGTGCATTTGATGGCTACATATTGATTCAAGGCATAAAGCTAAAAAAACAAGTTAGGAATCTTACAATCTGTTTTATTGTTGAATGAACTGTTACGCTTTACTTCCTCATTTGCACCAAAAAAGTTTGAACCAGATGCTTCACCAATACGCTTTTCTTTCATGGTGTCTTCCAAACTTAGGTGGTTCAGGTTCACCCTGCCCGATGAATAACGTTGGCTTTGAGAAGTGGAGGTTCCCACACCAAGGAAGTCTGGCATTTTCATGCTAGAAGACTCTTCCACTGCTTTATTTAAAACGTTTACTGTAGAGACATGTTGAGGATGTAAACCAGCGATCCAGCTCTTCTCCATGTGTGAAGAGCCCTCGCTATTTCCGACGTTGAGCTTAACAATCCCACCAACAACGGAGCCATTTATTCTTGGCAAAATCTTTGCAGGCTTCTCCTCTAGTATTTCCACATCATCATCATCGTCGTCGTCATCATCGGCATACGCATCAGCTGGAAGCTGAAGGTCCAACATTTTCTTTGTGGACCTGCCATTATTATTATTCATCAAAGGAGCTCCATTTCGAGCATACTCCGATCCCTTAGCAAAATTTATAGATGATTGCTTAATATCATTTCCAGATGTAGGAGGCATAACTTGCCAGACTCTTTTTACATCCCGTGATGTTGCCTGTGATGAATAAGACCTTGCTTGTAACATGTCTGCAGATCTAGGATATCCATTGCACTCTTCTCTTTGGAATTGTGCCATTAGGTCCTTCTGAGTTTTATACAATCGATGAAGCTCATATACCTGTACAGATGTTAGATAGTAAAGGAAATAAGAGATAATTTTAACTAGAGTATAGAAACGTAAAAAAAAAAAAAGCAAAATTTATATACTAAATCGATCCTGAAGCTCGTGGTATCATCAAAATTTACCTGTTTCCGGAATGTTGCTTCATGCACCAGCATTGTCCGCTTTAGCATTTCCTTATCATAATCTGGAGATGCATTCGCGGTTGTTATTGTGAAACTGTCACTAACATGCCCGCTGGGTTTGCTCTCCTCATGATACGACAACCAATTGCCGTTGGAATTTACACTAGAATCTGCCATGGTGAAGTATCCTGGAAGATAAGTCTTGCTTTCAACTTTCGTTCCCATCCCTGGCACATATAAACAACATTCTGGGTCACTGAGAGATCATTCACATCTACCACACTTACAAGGACATAAAAAAAATAAAAATCACACAAGCAGGGTTCTACTTGCAGGGTAGCTTGGTATGTATGATTTGATATACATACTGGATCATTACAGTCGATGAAACTAGACATCGCCCAACCAAGTCCCAATCAAACCAAACAGCGTAACCTTTCAACGTGTAGTGCTAAGTAGGCTTGCACCACACAGTAGCGATTTTGTGGAGAGATCATGACCATATTGTACAAAAAGATCAACTTATGCAGTAGTTATGCTTTGGAGCTCAATCTGAAAAAAGCGTCTATATGAACGAAAGCTGAAATGGCCAAACCGAATATTTAACTGAAATTACTACACAAAGCGCCCTAAAGCTATAAACGACATTACTATAATAATGCCGTTTCTGAAGTTTCATTAGCTAGAAGTCATTAAATGATCGTATTTTAACAGTTTTCTACAAAGAGTCAACATAGGAACCGAATAAGTAAAATATCATCATCAATTGGTGCAAGACAATCAATGTGGAACGTAAAAGGTACAATTCACGTTATGTTCTAATCTGAATTTTACTCAGGACCATAATTGTCATGTTCTGCAAACTCGCAAGTCTCAACTAATCCAATATTAATAGCTTCTTATTAAAATGTAGAACAGTAATCTCACAATTCAAATGAAGAACCTCACAGAATCAGTTTTCTCCATCCTATATATATGCAAATATCAGTTATAGTCGCTAGTTCTCTTCCTTATACTAATGAAAGGTGACTCAAATGGCATCTAAGTAAGTTAAGCACTTCAGCCAAATCCTCAGGTTGCACATACAGATAAAACAATTCCATAATTCACATCATCCAAATAAATTCTGAAGCACATGGAACAATCCCTATATTTAGAAGACCAGTACAAAGATTTTATTGTACTTACGAAATGTTCAGATGTAAACCAGTGCAGGAATCAGGATGACAATATCTGCAGACCAAGTCTCCCGTATTGCCAAACTTATCTGTTACGGCCAAGATGCTCCAAAAAAGAGGTCGCCACAACCTGGAAGAGACCTGAAAATTAGCAAATACGGAAATTATTCCCACATGGAAAACAAAAGAGGATTTCTTGGAAATTCTGGAAACCAATGTGGATAACCAGATTCAGAACAGGGAAGAAAAAAGATTGGAAGTTCCGAGGGGTTCGCGGATTTGCTGGGGACTAAAAAAAATCAAAATCTCACCAACCAAATGCATGAAAGAAGATGCAAGAAAACACGGTAGATTGAATCAAAAATCACAGAACAAAACACACATCTCAAGAATGCACATCCCTTTTGCTCCCAGATGCAAGAATTGAAAACATTATCCAGATGAACCCAGAAACAAATTCTGAAAACCAAACAGAGATATCTCCTATTACTACTACTTACGATTGTGAAGCGATGGTGGATGAGGAATTCTTCTTCTTCTTCTGCAGCTGCCAAGAAAATCGAAGTGTGACTGCCAAGCCGATTCAGTTCATCTTTATCTAACGCCAGAGGCAGAGGAGAAAGGCCACACACACACACACAGAGGTTGCGTCACCAACAAGAGACCTGGAAATTTGGCATTTGCTGCGAGTCAGGACACGGAGAAATGAACGAGAATACGAAATAAATGCCAGGGACCATGAACAAAAAAATATATATATACAAAAAAAAAAGCAGAGAGAAGATCAAGAAACCGCAAGAGACCGTGACGCAAACAAGGATCCCAAAGATCAAAATGCCAAAGAAACAAAAAGAAAACCACAGCTTTCCTCAACAATTCATCAAGAACATTCGACCAGGAATCGAAGCGAGAATCAGGAGGCCAGGATCGACAAGAAAGGAACATCTCGACGATCAAAAGCTCCCTCCTTTCCACCAACGGCAAACCAAAAAGAAAAACCATCCAAGAGAAGAAAAGAAAAAAGGAATATATTTATACAAAGAGAAAAGAATTACTAGTTAGTTTCACACAAGCAAAATCCAAGAACTGCAACAGAAGGGAGGGAGGAAACATCCAAGAACAAAGAGAACTCTGTGGACTCAAAGTACTCCTAAACTGAAAGTCTGAAACAAAACAGGAGGCACCACCAACAACAACAGCAGAAGCAGAAGCAGAAGCAGGAACAGCAGCATGAAGAAGCCAAGAACACAACAGGGAGAAGAAGAATTCTCACCTCAACCGTATCACCAGCTGGGCTGGGCTGGGGGGGAGAGAGCCTCCAAAATCCAAGAAAAGATTCCAACCTTTCCCCACTTCCTCAAGCCAGGAGACAAGGCCAACCAAACAGACACCAGCAGGACACATATACAATAATACTATATATATCCATTTTCACATGGACAACAACAACACAAACAATCCTTCCTTGCTTCCTTGTTAGAGCATGCAAGGAAGAAGAGAAGAAGAAGAGAGGTGAGATGAGAGGAGAAAACCCAGATGCAGATCAGAGAGAGACTAGATAAGGGAGAGCAAATCTCCCATCCTTTTCTTTCTCCCTCCTCCCTTGCAATAAACTCCTCCTATTCTCTCTCTCACTTTCTCTCTCTAGCACTAGCTGCAAAGAAGCCGAGGAGGAGAGGAGCAAAAGACCTTCTTAGAAGAGTGACAGGAAAAGTTTGTCAACTTCTGGTCTTTTTATTCTCTGCCTTCCCCCCTCTTCACCCCCCCCCCCCCCCTTCTTGTTGTATTCCCTCTCACTCTCTCAAACTCAATACAACTTCTTGGGGTTTTTTTTTCTTCTCAGTTTGGTTTGGTGGTGGATGATAGGGAGGGAGGAAAAAACCATCACTTTGCATTGGATTTTGGGGGAAAAGCCTCAAATTTGGGGTTTCTCTGTACCTTTTTCCAATTCCTCTCTCTCTCTCTGTGAGTTCAGTCTATCGGACAATCAGACCTGGGAGATTCTCCTCTCTCTATATTGGCTTTCTCTCTCATCTCATTGTGCCTCTGGATTGGAGTATAAAGAAAGGAAAGGAAGGAAGAAAAGATCATAAATGTATCAGCCCCTCCTGCTACATGCACACCAAACCGCATCCTTGTCCATCGCTGACGGGTGACAAATGGAAGAAAAAACATATTTGCTCCGTCTCATAATATAATATAATATAATAGATTTTGAGTTTTTTTTATACTGTTTGACCATTCGTCTTATTGAAAAAAATTATGCAAATATAAAAAGCGAAAAGTTGTGCTTAGAGTACTTTGGATAATAAAGTAAGTCAAAAATAATAATAATAATTTTAAATTTTTTTGAATAAGACGAGTAGTTAAACAGTACAAATAAAAACTCAAAATCCCTTATATTATAGGACAGAGACAGTAATCAATGATGATAATCACACGCTGTTTTCTTCCAAAGCATTTTTTTTCTTCGAATGTTGTTGCTGCTGGTGCCGATGAAAGCGATGCTAGTGAGAGAGAGAGAGATTGAGAAAAAAATGTGATTTTTTTTTGGGTTTCAAGATAGGCATCTCTTGTTACTATTTGGATTGGAACAAGAAAATCTGAACAGGAGTCAAAGAGGCGGTTTCTTGTGAGATCATATTGCTATCGATTTCATTTTTGTTTAGTCTTGAAAAAAAAGATCATCCTTTTTTTGTTTCTAGTGCCTTGTAATCGGGGGGTGCTTTCATGAGGGCATTATGTCATTATTATTATTTAGGTGTGGTGTTGGATTTCAAGGATTTCAAAATGTACTTGTAGCACATTCAATTCTCTAACTGACAGCATGACTCAATTGATGTATTTATATACTATTATTTCTCATCTACTACTACTAATTTCTTTATTAGTCCTTGCACTGTCCCAGTCAATTTCTTCAAGCAAGGACAAAATGCATCTACTCCTAACAAGTATTATTACCACAATTGAATAGGGAGTACCATACTCTAAATTGGATCAAAAGTACCAAAATTCACATCCCAAATTTTCCATGGTGCACACACATTTGGTACTAATCTCTTTGCAAACTTTCAGTACTGTTCATAAAGCACATATATGTTTTCCTTGTACCAAAATAAATAATTGTGCTGATGATCATGTTCTTGTCAGGGGACTAGTAGCATTATGGTGTAGTAGTAGTCCCCCTTTTTATTTCTACTTGTGCATTTCTTAATTCTTATTTTGTTCCCTCTCAATGGATTTACAAAAAGGGCTTAAAAGATGGTTGGCAGAGGCACCAGTGGGCCTCACACCCTCTGATTTTTTTTTTTTGGCTGCTGCTGCTGCAATGGAACCATGGAAGGAAGGAAGTAGCTTGATGCTGTTGTTGTTGTTGTTGTGACACCATAGATGTACAGTTATTACTGCACTAGGAATGGCATGAGCCACCCCATGTGCTGTCTGCTCTCTCACAACCCTAGTAAAGTTCATATCTGAATCCTCAGCTCTCACAAAATTCAGACAAAAAGAAACTCTTTAAGAAAATAAGGCAAGGTTTTGATACAACAATAACAAGGATATAATACTATATTTATGCTTCATTTCAGATAATGAGATATATATGGGAGATGAATTGAACTGGTGATGCTTCATTTCTAAGCAACATGTGTGTGTCTCTGTGACTTGAAGAAAGCACTGTTGCAATTGCAAGGGTTGCAGAAAAGAGGGGCTGTGACTGACCAATGACCAGCAGGTTTAGCCAAAACATGGCAACAGAGTGAACAGATAGAGTACTAGTAGTAGTAGGGTTTGGAGTTTGGAGTACAAAGGTGCTCCAGTGGAGGCAAAGATTCCTAATTTCAGATTTTTTTTTCTGTGGCTGAATTTTTATATTGTTTTTTTTCCTGTGCCAAAGATACTCTTGTGGCAGACAGAAACAGGAGTATACTCCCTCCGTCCCGAAAAAAGGCAAACCCTGAATTTCCATGCCAATGTTTGACCGTCCATCTTATATGAAATGTTTTTATATTTAGTATTTTCATTGTTGTTAGATGATAAAACATGATTAATACTTTATACGCGACTTATCTTTTTAATTTTTTTCATAATTTTTTCAAATAAGACGGACGGTCAAACATTGGACACGGAAACCAGGGTTTGTCTTTTTTTTAGGACGGAGGGAGTAGTAGGGAGGAGAAAACATTGGAAAATGGTTTCATATTCTCATGGCCATCTCTTGTAAATCTACTAGTACTCCTGAATTTTAGAGAATCCATTTTTAATGGTGGAATTTAGGGCCCGTTTAGTTCGTGAAAAGGAATTTTTTTAGATGTCACATCGGACGTTTGACCGGATATCGGAAAGGGTTTTCGGACACGAATGAAAAAACTAATTTTATAACTTGCTTGGAAACCGCGAGACGAATCTTTTGAGCCTAATTAATCTGTCATTAGCACATGTGGATTACTGTAGCACTTATGGCTAATCATGGACTAATTAGGCTCAAAAGATTCGTCTCGCGATTTCCCCCCTAACTGTGCTATTAGTTTTTAAATTTATCTATATTTAATACTCCATGCATGTGTTCAAAGATTCGATGTGATGTTTTTGAGAAAAAATTGGGAACTAAGCAGGGCCTTACTAAGAGTATTACTACTATAAAACAATTAGGAAAGGGAGTGGAAAGATCTGAAATTTGACAAGTTCCCTGTTACCTTGCTATGGTCTAAAGCTATGAATAAAAATCTAGAACAATTTGAAATGAGAAGAAATAACAAGGAACAAGGACACAATTATTGACCATGTCCTAGTATTAGTCAACTACTGATAACCATTTTGGAAAAAGGTAACTAATGATCATCTTGTATTACTGGTTTGCATCACAGATCAATGGTCAGTGACAGTGGGCCTAGGTTCAATCCTCAACAATTGTATGATTACATAGCGTTAATCCCTAGATTTGTGCTATTTCAGTCGTTGAATTTCGGAATTGCCATTTGTAATGCATAGAATAGATTAATTAAACCAGATAACCATACAAATGGGCATATAACTGCATGACGTAAGGGGATTAAAAAAAAGTCAGATGTGTTTACTGCACTTTGTGAAAGCTGCAATGATGCTCGTCATAGGCCCTGGATCTAAAACCGTACCACTTTGTGACATTATTAATACTAGTTATTTTTACTTTGTGCTTTTTCTCTTGCTACTTTTTCATGTGGTTTTTTTTTTCTGCCACGCCCAGACAAACACAATTTCCATTTCCTTCTGATAAACAATTCAGTTGAAAAGATCCGCATTTTGTTAGTTGTTTTCTTGTTTAACTTTGGTCAGTGTTTGGTGAGTAGCAAAATAGCAACATATTTATGTAGTAAATGCATTTTAAGATAATGGGAATCCCGAGTTTTGCCTCAACAAAAACTACAATCAATTATATATTACAATGTTTGTACTGTACCATATAAGACTACGAATAAAACTTGAAAACATGACAAAATACACAATAAATTATAACACTAAGAGGCAACGTTTATTCAGGAACCTAGCCTATGTAATAAACCTTCATCCATGGTTGGCAAAAATTTGCTTCACCATAGTTTCTAAACTCTGGCATACGAGCTACTCCCTCCATCCTACCGAATATGATACATCCTAGCACTACGAATTTAGATATACTACCATCCAAATTCGTAATACTAGAATATGTCACGTCAGTTTTAAATTAGTATTTTATGGGACGGAGGGAATACAAATTAGCGAGGCAATAAGTCGATTAATTAGCAGACCCATGTCATGACTCTTCTATATCATCATTATTCATATCAGTGCTAACAACCCATATCACTTTGGACAAAGGCTACATTACATGTGTGTGTGCTTTTATTTTGAAATTGCATTTTTCAGATTGTACTTTTGTACTGAGGAATATTTGCTATACATCCAGCCGTGTGCGTTTATTAGATTAGCAAGGGAAATAAGAGCAGGAGCAAGAAATGGGTCCAGTACTGCTGGAAACCTCATAAGTCATAACAAAGGTATGATGTGCATTTAATCCAATGTGGGGTTTCAGAGCATTTGTAAGGTGAGTAGATGATGCCATTGCTTCCAATGTCTCCAATAATACAATCTCTCCAATTATAACCTTAATCACTAGGGAGAAAAACTGTCAAGAGATATTTAGGAGAATACATAATCAATCGCTCACCATCAATATTAATTGATTGTATTCAAGAACATGATCACAAAGGTGAATAATTAATCCAAAAATCTTCTTTTGTCACAGCTAGATTAACAAATACTCCAGTAACAACCAACAGGTTACTAGTTGTAGTACTAGTACTAGAGAATAAAAAATGGAAATAGGTAGGGGGTTGTACTGCAAATTGGGAATTTATTATGTGGGGCTACGTGGATGGGAAAGCACTATTTATGACTTTATTCTGCCCTCTGTGTGTGTACCTCAAAGTCCTTTTCAACTCTGAGCTCGCGATCTGTTGTTACTTGAGATGGCTCTCCTGTGGACCCACTCTCACTGACAGTGTGGCCCACAGCTCAGAAGCATCCAAGTAGGAGTATATTGTACTACTCCAAGTAATATGTGATGCCTAGAAACACCTGTCTTTTCATTTATTTTCTAGTGCTATATTAATTTGGTGCAAAATGAGGGGTTAACCAAAATATTTTGCGCATTAATGCTGAGCTCTGTTCATATAGGCCGTGTTTAGTTTCAAAATAATTCTTTAAACTTCTAACTTTTTCATTACAT